ATATATGTTCTCTGCAACATTTATCTTATTTGATCAAGAGCAAAATTATCTTCCTCTGAATGAATAATTATATTAAATGCATAATTTATATGTACAATTACGCGCGCACGCATGCACGCACGCACGCACGCACACACGCACGACGTGTTTGCACATTCGCGCTGGCGCTCATACACATACACACACACACACATACGATACATACAAACGCAAGCACGCACGCACATACACCCACACACACATACACACACACATACACACACACACACACGCGCGCGCGCGCGCGCGCGCACATTAAATAAATATAAATAAAACGAGCAACACATTAGAAATGCCAGATATAGTTTAAAACGGTTATTCGTCTTAATGTCTAACGATAATATTTTTGCATAAAACTTTCGATTTTCAGTTAAAGCAAATTGCGTGCCGAATATATTGGTCGGTTTTGAAATATAATTCTAATCTGAATCCGGAATATCACAATTAAATTGGCAATCAATTTAATAATTCTTATGTTAATGAACATCTTTTTAAATTCTATAAAATGTCTTGTTGCGAAAAATTTGGCGTTTCTAATGTTACTCGTTTATACTTTTAACGGTCTTGATTATCATACAAATATAGATAATAATCTTTATTAAAATTATTAAGAGATTATTTAATTTAACAACATTTATTATTTTATTCGTTTAATAAAATAACAATTTAAGAATAATTAATTAATAGAGACCCTCTAATTAATAATAAGTATCTAATAAAATAATAAAAAAGATGATTGACCAAGATAAAATATATTTTAATTGTTTTAGATAAATTTAAATTTTTGATTCTTTTTCTCATTTTTTATTTCGAATAAATTTTCCTTTGTTTCTTTTATGTCTCAATAAAGAGATATATAAGCACTTTGCGTATTTTAGGAAAATCAAATATTGTTGATGCCATAAGTTTTGCATTAGGAGAGAAGCCACGCGCTTTGCGTGTTAATTGCCTTAATGAACTCGTTTATTACGACCCTATTGGAGAATCAAGGATGGAACGGTATTAAATTAGATATATATTTTCTTTATTTCTACTAACTAATTTTATGTCGTGCTATATGTTTTAAATGTTTAACGTGTTATAGCGTTACCTATGTAAAAGTGATCTTCAAGGTAGACGATAACAAAGAGATCAGTTTCACAAGGACAATACACGGCGAAACCAGTCAATACAAAATAGATAACCAGGTGGAGTTTTATGCAATACTGTTCACAATCTTGTTAAAAAATAATTATTTTTTTATTTAATTACATCAGTCGATATTGAAATCCATCTCTTATCATGCAGATTGTTACGAATATATTTTATATGGCTACACTGAGAGAAATGGGTTTGGACATAAAGGCAGGAAACTTTTTGATACCTCAGGGTTACATCGAAAATTTCGCATTGGACATGCTGAAAAATATGACTGCAATGTTTGAGCAGACTAGTAATTCAATTGAGTACAAAGCAGATTATGAAAGGTAGATTTTTGTTCTAACTTTAATGGTGGTTTTGCTGTAAGATTTGATAAATTTACTAAATTTTGAAATTTTATGACAGATTAAAATTAGAACATTCGAAAGCGCTAGAAGAAGTACATTTTGAATATAAAATGAAAAGACAAATATTAAATCAAAAGAAACACGCCAATGTGGAAAAAACAGAAACAGAAAGATATTTGCAGCTGAACGAACAATATGTACGTCACATTTAATTTTCAATCTATATAATCTTTAAATTATTGTTTATATCTTTTTTTATGATTGTGATAAAATAATTATCGATTTTTGCAGAATAAAAAAAAATTAAAATTTCAATTAATTCAATTGCTTCTTATTAAGAAAAGAATTGAATTCTTACAAAATAAGGAAAAAGAAATGAAATTGCAAACAGATAAGCATCTAGACGATAAGATGACTGCGATAATGTTAATGGAACGTACAAAATCAAAATTTAATTTATTATTCGCTCCTCTTGAAAATGTTGAACAAGATATCCTGAAAATGGAAAACATTATTCAACAGAAGAAGACAGAACACAATGTATTTGAGGAGGACATCTCACATTGGCAAAAGGAACGTGATTGCGCTCGCGTATCTTTAAATAGTGCAAATAAAGCACGTGACACTAAACAGAGAAACATTCAAGAATTAACAGATGAATTAAAACGAATAGATAACATATTAACGGAGTTGAGAAAAGCGTCACAGACGAGCACTATAGAACTTAGCAACTCTCAGGTATACGTTGTTAATTGTTATATCTAGAATGATACGATGATGGGATGATAAGATAATATGGATATACATAGGATGTATACGATATAATAAATCTATATTGTGCAGTTTATAAAATAGTTTATAAAAAATATGTTTATTTTTTACAATTTTATACAATAAAATTTAAAAATTAAATTTTTTTAAATGTAATAATTTACACGTAAGGTTAAACGTTACATGGAATTGACGAACGAAGTTGAACGTCGTACAGAGGATTATATAAAGCAAATAAATAGCTTGATGCACAAACAACAAGAGGATCACTATAAACTTGATAACGAAAATAGACGTAAGCAAGAATTGGAAGACAAAGTAAAACAGATAAAATTAACTAAGGAGAGTCGCGAAGCGCGACTCAAAAAACTGCAAGATTTAATTGTCAAATCCGAAGCAACTTTACCAGAAAAAACAGCAAAAATAAAGAAACTAAATAAAAAAATTCTTGAAACAAGGAATAAATTGTTAAGTCTAGAGAACGATATTGCAAAGATTACAGAGGAGCTTTCCGATATTGATGACAATACTGTTTCGCGATGGACTAAAAAACATGAAACGATCAATAAGTTGAAACAGATCAATTCTGGCGTGGTATCGTTTCTATTATACTAACTGTTATGAAAATTTAGATGATAATAATACATATGATCTATAAAGAATTAATGTAATTTTATTTTCCAGTATGGTCGTTTATCTGATTTGTGCAAGCCTATTCATTCACGTTATAATGTTGCAATAACTAAAGTTTTTGGTAAAAATATGGATGCCATCGTCGTTGATACCGAAGATACAGCAACTCAGTGCATTCAATATTTAAAACAGCGTAAAATAGGCATTGAAACATTTTTACCACTTGAATCAATAAAAAAGAGAGTTTTAAAAGAACAATTACGGTAAGTAATTAGAAGGAAAAAATATATACATATTTTAATAATGTAATATAATATAATATGTCTAATTATATATGTTATTGTACGTTACAGTGCTATAAAAGAGCCGAAGAATGTTAAATTATTATATGATGTGTTGGACATTTCAACAGCAGAAATAAATACCGCGGTTTTATTTGTCACTAAGAATACTTTAGTTTGCGAAACTATTGAAGATGCAATGACAATAGCATACAACGAGGATAAACTAAAAGCATATGATGTAATAATATGCATATTTAATTATATATATAAAAACACAAAAAATAATTTAGGAATTAAAAATTACACATGATATACATATGTTTATTTTATTATTTTATTTATATTTATTATTACATATTTATTTTATTTATTAAACTATTATATATTTATTACGTTTAGTGTGTTACATTGGATGGATGTTTGTTTCGTAAAAAAGGTCCAATGTCCGGTGGACAGACTGATTTAATTGTAAAAGCGAAACAATGGAACGAACAACAAGTAGTTACATTGAAGGAACAGAAGGTTGTAAATTTTTTGCAAGATCGGTGCAACTTAAGTTACACATAATAATTTATATAATATGTACAATTTTTTAGGCACAATTAATGCAAGAACTCAGAAATTTGCCCAACATTTCTTTCATGCAGTCTGAACTTGAATTATTTAATGTAGAAGTTAAAGGGTTTGCAAACCAAAATAAATATATCGGGATAGATATGGAAGAAATTGTACGTAATTAAAAGACAATCGTAATTTGTATTTTATGATTTATTATTAAATGTACGATTTGTTTGCAAGTAATAGTTCTTTTTTTTTTTAGAAAAATGAAATTGTTATGATGAATAAAGAATTAGACGAGCTCCGCGATAGATTAATTGTATCAAATGTATGTATTTTAATATATTTATATATATATATTTAAAAAAAAATTGTTATTGTTTTATATAACAAAAAGATTTCCATTATCCATAAAATTTTTAGACGATAATAACTGAAATTCAAGGCAATATGCAAGAAAGAAGTGAGAAAGTTACAAGCGTAGAGAGAAATGTTAATGCAATTAAAAATAATATCTTTGTTGATTTTTGTAATGATATTAATGTACCGGATATTAGCTACTATGAGAAGAATAATTTGCGGTATGAAAATTCAATTTAAATGTATAATTTCTAATACAGGTGTTTACAGAAAATAAATTTTAATAACAAATTTTTAGATTTTATCAAGAGCAGAAAACGAGGCAAATGGATCTTGAACAACAACATGATCGTATCGAGAATCAGTTGCGCTTGGAAAATGAAAACGATACAGAAAGTAAATTTCCAAATTTTTCAAATGATATTTTTGTTAATGTATCGTCTCTATAATCATTAGTGTTTTTATATATGTACGATTTTTGTGAAAAGGTAAAGTACTGAAATGGGAACAAGCTGTAAAACGAGCTGATGCAGAATTGACTAAGGCGTATCAGCAAGATCGTAATGCAAAGAGTGAGATTGAGCTAGAAGAAACAAAAATGTTGACGTTAAAGGACAGATATACAAACGTAAAAAAGGATTTAGAGAATTTGGAAGGAGAATTGTCTGAGCGCAGATTGCAAATTAACTTTTTCGAAAAATTATATCTGGAAAGTCGAAAGGCGCATATTGCTCTACAGAAAAAAATAGAAACAAAAATTATAGAATGTAACACTATACTTAAAGAATGCAAGGTTTGTGAGTTTTTAAAGAAACTGAAAAACTTATTTTAAAAGATTTATTGTAAAAGACTTGTTAATACAAATATTAAATATCGCAATATTGATCTATCATGTTAGCATCAATCATATTTAATACAATTGTTTTTACAGATGGAAGATATTGTTGTTCCAATGTTAGAGACGTCTCGTAGGTCAGGAGGAAACAATTTTACAAGTAGCTCAAGTTCGAACGCGGAATCATTAGAAGACTGTAAAGTGTTAACAAAAATTAATTTCTCCCAATTTCCTAAGGACATTCTCAATTCTACAGAAGAAGAGTTACAAAATATGGCTAAACAACTTGATGAAAAGCTTACAAAGATTCAGGATGAATTTAATGAAGTGAAACCCAATCTTAAGGTACGTAATATTTATAATTTTACATAGTATATATTTATATTAGACACATTTTCTTTTAATTAATCTTATAAATTTGGATAAATATAGGTTCATGAAAAGATCGATTCGATAGCACAGGAAATACAGAAAATAAATACGAACTTTCAAAACTGCCGTAAAAAATGTAATGAAATACAAACGCAATTTGAGTTAGTGAAGGCAAAAAGATACAAGCTGTTTTCAGATTGCCTGGAACACGTTGCTGCGGAAATAGATTCTATATACAAAGTCCGTATTCTTAATTATATTTTAAGATTCTTGTTCGTTACACAGTTTGCTTCTGTACATTACAATTTTAATTTGACTTATTTTTTCTACAGAATTTAGTTAATGACACGTCGGCTCAAGCATTCATCTTATCAGACAATCTCGAGGAACCGTACTTAGGCAATATAATTTACAATTGCATAGCGCCGTCTAAAGGCTTTCTGCCATTGCAGTGTCTATCTGGCGGAGAAACGTCACTCGCTGGTCTGGCATTACTATTTGCAATTCAGCGGTATGCCTTAATCCTAAGATTAATGAAATGTCATGCATTTGGATGCTTCTATGAATACAGATAATGATTGGAAGTTAAGAGTTATAAATAAACTATAGTTTTAATTTTTTTTTATTCACAGTTACAAGAAAATACCGTTTCTCATTCTGGATGAAGGTGATGCGGCATTGGACAAGGCGAATATTAAGAATGTCGTCCGCTTTATCAAGTCCCAAGAAAACACTACACAATGTATCATGATATCCTTACACAAGGAATTATATTGTTATGCTAAGGGACTTATAGGGGTTACTGCTAAAGTAAGTTGATAATTTGTTATTTTACAATTTCTCACATAATTCTATATTTTATTATTGATTTTAGCGTGACCGTTACCCCATCATGAGTAAAGTATTTTCCATTTCATTAAAAAAATATCGTGAAGTGCAGTAATAAAAGTATGCAATAATGAAAAATTCAACGTACTAATAATAATATAATATCACAAATAATATTAAACTATTACAACTACTACTGTTATCTTAACTTTATTTATAGAGTTGTTATTATAAATAACTTATGTTAATAATTTGTTTTTTTCTCTCTCTCTCTATATATATATACATATATTATTTGGATTTATATTTTCTTTTTAATTATTATATAAATTATTAGATATAAATTTTAAAAAATGTTTTATTAGTAGAATAGACAAACAAATTGAACAAATTTTGAGATATAATGTTAATTTGGACAGGCTTATTTTACGCATTGTGTTTTTTTGTAATATTATATAATATAATTTATATTAATTTTGTTGTTAAATTATTGTATTAATTAACTTAATTTAACTTATATAAAAAATTTGTATTTAGTTATTTATAATTTGTATTAAAAATAACATTTAATATTAACAATTGTAAAATAATATGATTTGGTAACATAATATGAAATAAAGTTTCTCTCATTCAAAATGTTTTATTTATTTTGATCTAGATGAACGTATAATACTATTTGTATATATTTTTCTGAGATAAAGTCTCGTGTTAATAACGATATACATGCGTCTGGAGAATGCAATATTTAGAGCAATTACGGTTATCTCCATGATTGCATTAGTGCTTGTATTTAGATCTCTAGTTTTCATTTCAATGTATATGGCACATTTATTTCAACTGTATATAGTACTAAAAATAAAAATGATTTAATGCCGATTGCAGAAAAGTGTAACTTAGATTTTACTCTATATATTGTTTAATTAAATTTTGTTTTATTTTTTAAATATTTACTATTACGTATTTGGCATAAAATCAATATATTATTATATTAAAATTAATTATTTTTTAAGAACTGTTTTAGTAAATAACATTATTTTAATAAAAAATTATCATCTTATTAATTTAATTATTTAATTAAAATATTCTGACTTTTATAACTTTTAAAAAAATAATTGGAAAGCTGTTAAATTGTAAAATTTATCCAATGTATTTAAAATATTACAAAACCAATTAAAAACATTTGTGTTCATTATATATTTAATTCTGAAAACAAGAAATTATATACATTTTTTCTTTGCAATATACTTATATAAAAATAAATTAGTGCCTATTTTGACACTCAAAAATGATGAACATTGATGTAAAACGTTTGATGTTTTAGCAATCAGTTTGAACTTTTAACAAAAATATTTTGATGGGCTATCAAAATTATTTTTTTTAATTAAAATTATTTTTAGATTTGTATCCAGTAAAATTTTTAGCATTATCTTTCCGTATAGAAATATATAAGAGATGCATGCACTTAATTATACACATATTTAAGTATTTATTATATTAACACAAAGAAATATAGAGAGCATTTTTGATATATTCTATAATTAATCTGTCAAAACTAAATCCACGAATATATACAAAAAAATTTATTTCTTTTGACATGCTATACGATTTCTCGTTCCTGATGCCAGATATGAGCAAAGAAACGGGAGTCCCAAGAACGTATGTATCATTTCCAATCGAATGTCAATACTAATTCTATGATGAAACTGTGCCGATTGCATTGCCCCCATTGCTTTTATTATACATAGTAGTAATTCTGATTTATAGTCGTCAGTAACGAATGGAGGAGGTGCAGGTCAATGCAGTCTATTGCGGCTAACGTCTTGTAAAATAAGACGCACGCTCCGGGAATGCGGCCAAAATGATGATTGTCGTTTAATAAACTTATTAAGGGGAAACGCCAGCATCTCGGTATCGGAGCTCAAGTGTTTCTCTGGCGCTAAAAATGAGGCAAAACGCCTATCGTGAACTAGGTCGTCGTAGCTCTTGTTTCAATGGATCGGATGCATTCGCGTTCAACGTAAGGATATGTACGTGGTAGTTGTGTAAGCACAGCTGAATCACCAGAAGACTCCACAAAGCCTCATAAATTTCTACGCTCTAAAATTTGTTTTGATTAAACGAACAAAAATTTGTTTTGATTAAAATAAAAAATATGTACAACAAATTATTCTGTTCTAATTCTTATAGAAAAAACTTTTTTTCAATAAAATCTCTTAATTTGCTTGTTAGATTGCAATAATATTATTCATGATAGCTAATTATTAGGATCAAACAAAAATGAATTAAGAACATAAATTAATTTTTATGATGAATGAAAGAACTGATAAAAATATGAATAGCGAAATTTCGTGTGTGTCACTTTTTGCTCCGAGATAAATGCGAATTACCTATGCCATAGATCTCAAAAGACCTCAATCCATCATAGAAAATTTATGCTTAATTAAAAATGCGGGTGTGACAACGGCGCCGTGATGCATGTTGCATACAACCCTTAAGCATAAGGTGATGACCTCCATTGCGCGATGTCGTACCGTTTCTAACAGTACGCAGAATAATGATTCTGTACTGACAATACTGACATGGTCTCTCATAAGCTTCTATGAACCGCGACATTATTTAACGAGGACCTTTTGAAGATATATTCAAATAATACATAAGTTTTTTTTTATTTCGCGGCATTTATTGTGAATATTTACAACTGAGATTGATAAGGTCTATTAATGAATAAATAATTATTAGTTAAAATTAATTTTAAGTTAATTTACAGTTAAAACTATATATATATTGATTATTGGTTAAAAATACAAGCAATTATAGATTTATACTGATGATATTTCTCGAATAAATTTATTGCTATGTTATTTATTTATCAAACTTATAGATCGGTAATGTTAGACAAGAAAATGAAAAACATTAAATTATTTATATGTATTTTCTTTGATAAATTTTTTGCTATTGCTTGCCGAAATTATAGATTTCGATAGTATTAGATCGATAATATTAAATAAAAAGAATGAAAAAAAATTAAATCATCTGCATGTAGTTAAGATATTTGTCTTTATAAAATTAAATACTTTTTAAAAACAAACTTTGGTTCAATGTTAAATTCTGTTTCATCCCTTAGTATTAGCAATATATCGATATTACACTTGACAATCTAATTAAAATAAATAAATACTCTTAATATGTATAACACGAGAATTATTTATTCCAAAATTTTACCTACTTCTGTATTTCCCGTTAAACAATTAAATCCACCGTTTCTTTTCTCTTTTCTGTAGAGAAAAAAAGAAAAGAACTTGATAAATGAGAGTAGACAGAAAGGAAAGAAGTGGTCAGGTGGAGGGACGGCGAGGGGGTGGCCGCGGAATAAGTCGGCGGGAGAATCGTATGCATCTTTTAAAATAGAGGATGAATGACCTCCCCTACATCATACAGAGCATCTGCTAAATAGATGACACGCCGGTTGTCACGAGTCTAGTTGCCTTCAGTCTTGCGATGCATGCGAATCGGGATTAGAATCATATATTTTCTCCGTTCTCACAGTGGAGTTTTTCCATCCCTGCCGGATAGAGGGACTTCACGATGAGGCGGCGGGCTTTAGAGCTGATCACGGAACTTCTCGTGATCCAACTGCTGCTGCCCTTGCCGGATCAAGTGAACGCCGTGAAGAATCGGTTAAGAAAACAACGATCCAAGCCGCAGGAGCTTCAGTCTCACAATCAGCAGTCTGGCAACGATTATGAATATGATTATAACTATAATGAGAATTATGATGAAAATTACGAAGAAAAGAACGGTGAGTGTCCCATAAATGTCTGAAAAAATTTGATTATGCAATAAAATAAAAAAATAAACTGAAAAAAGAGAAATAACTTTGAATTTAATAATATCTTCTTTTTACGACTAATTTTCTCTTTATCTATAAGAGGGCTAGGAATATAAGCATACGCGATATATTAAGCATTATATCTCTAAAAATTTTTTGAATGATTTATATTTTTATGTATAAATAGTATTATTTATTAATATATAAAAAAGAATGTGCTTGTGTGTATTTGTGTATGATAAGTTTCGATTCTTGCTTACATTATGTTTATTTGTTAGTACAAAAAATCAGATTACTGCACAATGCATAACACGCTATATCTGTAGAATATTGATTTGATTTTTATGTTATTAACACCAAATTAACACTAAATAGAATTCACAATTAAATTATTTAAAATAAAGCAAAATGTTTAAATTAAGATTAAATTAAAAGTTTCGAGAAATTCTTATTTTTTCAAATGTCTTTAAGATGTTTGTGTCATTTTTTGTCTTTTACGATAATCTACAAAATTATTATTCTACTTAATTATTATAATAGCAACGTAATTTTATCTATAAATATAGCAAAAATGTAGCAGTTGTAAATAAAGAATAATTATTATTTCGAAATGCCGGAAGTCTTGCGTCACAGATCAATCTCGTTAAGACGCTGATATAAAATAATTAATCTCTTTAAGCAGAGCAATCTAATTAATACCATTTATTTCAATCTATGAACTGCGAGTGCAATTTAATACAATCCACAGCTAGAAATAATTTCCGGTTTAGCTTCTTCGCAGATGCTATACCTAACATGTTTCGAATTTTTATAAATTGATATAATTATTGTTGCAATATGTTTTCGTTGATAATAATAATATAATCTTCTATATTTTTATTTAATAACAATATAAAAATATTATTTGCTTAGAGACCACAACATTACCACCTGATATCACGCGATTTTCGGGTAAGCATGCGGGTTTTATTGTTATAATACATAAAAATGATTAATAAAGCATAAATTATTCAATGCAGGAAGACCTGAAATATCAACAGAAACATTCTTGAGACGAGAAACATCTACACCGGCTCCCACGACAACTCAATTTTATAATCGTGGTAGGCATAGAGTTAAGAAATTACATTTGTAGTGAAAAAAGTGAAAAATAATAAATAGATAATCAGAATAAAATACTTTTATTCGCATTTTCCGGAATCTGATTTTTCTAAATATTGATTGTTTGCATTCTACAAATTTAGAGGAGACTAATTCCACATCCGAACAGGATCATTCAGTAAGTATAAACTATTTAATAATAAAAAAATTAAGAAAATTGAATTCTGTGAGGAATAGTAATTTTTAGTTTTTTTCTTCAGGTTTCGCCTACGGAGATTTTACCGGGTGAAAGTAACATATATAGTTCTGTAGCTTTTCCAGGACCACGAGTAAGTAATTGTTTATAACAGTTGTTTATAATAAATAGTATATGTAAAAACAATGTTTGCATAAAAATTTACAAAAAAAATAACGTTTACGAATTAGGGTACACCTGGTCGACCTGGAGATATTGGTCGTCCTGGTGATGCAGGATATCCTGGACAACCTGGTACACCTGGGATTCCAGGGCCACCTGGACTTCCAGGACCTGTACCTGATGTAAGAAATCTTTTTATAATTTAAAATTGGTTTTATTTCTTTATATCATTTATTTATAACATTTAAATAGTTGTATGTATGAGCTATTTATTAAGAATTTATATTAAACATGTATCATATAATTGATATTAATATATGTATAATAATTTACTAATGTATCTATAAATGTTGATAATAAAAGATATCTCTTTATTATCAACAATTGGCTTTGTCTCAAGCAAATGAAGATAAAGGTCCGACCGGTGCAGCAGCGTCATTGTATGGACCAGAAGCGTTATCTTACATTCAGGCGCAAGTAGGTCCAATGGGTCCACGAGGTCCCCCAGGTAGACAATAATTCTTTTAATAATTTTTTTCAAATTTATTTATATATAAATAAGTTGATCTGTTACAACTTGTTTTAATAATTTTACCTAAAAATATCGTACTTAAAGTATTATTTAAACATTATCTTTTCTATCTTTTAATTTAGGTTCATCCGGTGCTCCTGGTCCTCAAGGTTTTCAAGGTACACGAGGTGAATCTGGTGAACTAGGTCCTCCAGGCCCTCCTGGCATGCCAGGTCCTAGGGGCTTACCAGGATTGCCTGGAAAAGATGTAGGATTATTTTTAAATATAAATATTTTTATATAAATTTCATTTGTTGTTGTATTATATAAATTGCATTTGTTTCTTTATAATTGAAATTTATATTCTGTATTTCTTACATTGATTTAATTTTATTTGCAAACTACATTTGTATGTATATACAAGGTGTCCGGTACTCAATGGTAAAACGCTCGTGTATAGGTAGAGTAGGCTAAACTGAATCGAGAAGTCCTTTATTATTTTACGATCTTTGCAATAGTTATCGATACTAATCATTTTAAAAAAAGGAAAAATTTTACATAATGACTAAGTTTTTGCTTCACTATGATTCCATTGGTCATTTTAGTCACTTTAAGCCTGTTTTATGAAACTTAAAATTATTTGGAAAGGCAATGACATTAAACTTTTACTGCATATAATTTTGGACGGTTTAAAACAATATTTATTAAAACAATATTTTTGTCTCTATATATCTAATCAAATAACTTGGTAACCTGTATGATCTCATATTTGTTTTTGGACAACTATTATTTGTAAAAATAATATTTTTGGTTTAGGAAAGATGTAATATATGATACTTTTTTATGTACTTAGCATAAATTTTTTTTTTAATGATTAATATCTTGATAACTATTGCGAAGATTGCAAAATAGTAGACTTTTCGGTTCAGTTTAGCTCACTCTACTTGACCACAAGCGCTGTATACCATTGAATACCGGACACCCTCTATTAAATTATATGTATACTATACATTACATTAAAATAAAATATTTTTTATTTTATTAACGACAGGGAATCAGTGGAGAAGATGGCGAGACTGGTCCGCCGGGATCATCTGGTCCTGTAGGACCACGTGGTATTCCTGGAATACCCGGGCTTCCAGGAATAAAAGGCCATCGTGGTTTTCCAGGTTTAGACGGTGCCAAAGGTGAGCAAGGAGCTTCTGGTGAAAAAGGATCCATGGGCTCGCCTGGACCGATGGGACCAGTAGGACCGACGGTATGTAAATAACGCCTTCGATATTTACATGTGATTTAAATAGAGGAATGTATATAAGATTTAAAGTAAAGGGCATAGCAGGATAAGTATGTGTGTGCTGCCCCCGCACGAATTCAGTTGAGATTTTTACTATATGGCAGTAATGTAAGAATGAATTTCGGAAAAGATTATATTCGAAAAAAATTTTTTATGGAAGTCATGGAGGTAAAATTGAAAATCGAAAAAATAAATGTTTTTTTTAATGGATGAACTGATTTTGACGAAAAAAATATATGTTAGGTGTTTTAATGGTGCGATGTTTCAACAAAATTACATATAAAAATTTTTTTTCTAAAAAACTAGTTGAAAAAAATTTTTTTAATATTTTCGAATTTTTTTTAGTGAATGTACTTGAGACACTATGACCATTTTTTATTAAAAAAATCTTTGACTTATCTAATACAGCATATTTAATTTTCAAAACAATCGGAAGGTTATATCAGTTAAAAAAAGAGGAGTTTTAAAGTTTAAGCGTGTCGCGTATTGTAACGAGCATTGCTCGTGTTATTTACGACTCATCCAGAATCAACTTCAACTAGCCAAAATTTAAGATAGAGTTTAGCTTTAGAAGAAGCAAAAAGAAAACTCACTTTTAAAGACAAATCTTGGTGCTTGTTTATTGAATTTCTTATCGTTTCATTGCCTTAAGGGGGAAGCCTGGTTTAGCATGCTGAAAAATTAGGTGACATTTTTGGAATTTTTTTTAGAAAACTATTCAACCAATCCTTTTTAACTTTATAGGGTAATTTCTTATGCTATTGAACTAACAAAAAAATATTTTTTTGTCAGAAAAATTTATTCGGCGGTGATGGTGTTTGGCGGCGTGCAAGATAATTCAAAAGCTATTTATCCGATTGACTTGGGCCTTTACATATCTGCACAAATACTTCCCTAATAACTTGAATCACAGTTTATAATAATATTATTTAATTAAATAATTTTTATTGCATAATAAACACGAAAAATTTTTTGTCAATATCGCTACCTTCTTTTTCTAAGTGTCGCGATTTTCATAATTTCGCATTATTTTCTTTAAAAATATGTTTAGTTAATGCGTAAACTCTTGATAAACAATAATCTTTTTGGATTTTTTATTTCAGACAAATACAAGCGATTACATTGCATTCCGCCAAACACCATCATCGCCGACGCGCCGAATAAAAAGTTATTATTTGCATAGTAAATACTTTTTTCTGGCAAAAAATATTTTTTAGTTCAATAGTATAAGAAATTACCCTATAAAGTTCAAAAGGATTGGTTGTATAGTTTCCTTAAAAAAATTTCAGAAAATCACCTAATTTTTTAGCGTGCTACATCAGGTTCTCTCCTTAATCTTTGTCGCTATCATCCTTAATAGCAATGATACTATTCTGCTGAAACATTTCACTGAGGATCTCAGTTGGTAAGATCTTTAACAGATATCTGGCATGAGTTAGATATACAGTAAACTATTGCAGCAACGTGTGAACAGTATCTGTCAAAGATCTTTAAATCAGCTGAGATCCTCAGTGAAATGTTTCAGTAGAATAGTACCATTCCTGTTAATGAGGATGATAGTGACGAAGATTAAGGCAATGAGACAAAAAGGAACTCGATAAACAAGCACCAAGATTGTCTTCAAAAGTGAGTTTTCTTTTTGCTTCTTTTAAAACTAGACTTTATCTTGAATTTTGGCTAGTTGAAGTTGATTCCGGATGAGTTATAAATAACAAGAGCAAGGCAATGTTCGTTACACAATACGCTTAAACTTTAAAACTCCCCTTTTTTAACTATGATATATCCTTGCGATTGTTTTGAAAATTAAATATATTGTATTAGATGATTAAAGATTTTTTTAGTAAAAAATGATCGTAGTGTCTCAAGTACATCTAATAAAAAAAATTCAAAAATATTTAAAATATTTTTTCAACTAGTTTTTTTTGAAAAAAAATTTTTATAATTTTGTTGAAACATCGCACCATTGAAACCCCTAACATATATTTTTTTCGTCAGAATCGGTTCATTTATTTAAGAGAACATTCATTTTATCGATTTTCAATTTCATAAAAACTTTCATAAAAAATTTTTTTCAAATATAATCTTTTCCGAAATTCATTCTTACATCACTGCCAACTTATATATTAAAAATCTCGACCAAATTCGTGCGGGAGCAGCACACACATACTTATCCTGCTGTGCCCTTTATAAAAATATCTTGTATTATCATGAAGTAAATTTTAACGTTACAAACATAAAGTTCATAAAACGTTTTTCTACACTAATGTTGGTTTATATAGGGTCCAGCAGGACCTCGTGGTGAAAGAGGTAGAGAAGGTCCATCAGGCCCTCCTGGGTTGAGAGGCCTCGATGGAATTGCTGGGCCACCTGGGCAATCCGTAAGTAAATTAATTATTCAATTTATACGCAATTTAAAAATTGATTAAAATGTACTTCAAAGATTTATGAAAAATTATAATTTTTTCCAGACGTTTTTATGTATGACTAATGTGGATTTATCTAAACGTCTTTTCACATTTCTTTAAACTTAACATTAATATTATTTTTAGGGTGCTATAGGTAAACCTGGCTCACCAGGTTTTCCAGGGAATCCTGGAATCAAGGGTGATCAAGGAATACAAGGACCGACAGGAAGCCAGGGTTTGCAAGGTCCACGAGGTAAGATATTTTAATTTTTATTTAATGAAAGCAAAAGTTGCTGATTTTATTAAATATGTTATGTCCAAACGAAATTAAATTGAAAGAAGGCCGAGAAACGGTCAAAGCAAGATTTTGGTGCTGATATATCTTCGATTGTTGCGATGAATATTATCACATGCCTCGATGATCGAGCTGATTAAGACGCCCGCCCTGGAAGGTCGGGAATTTCAGATTCAAATCCTGGTTGAGGTAATATTTTTCGTAACAAATAATTCTTTATATTGCATCACGGGGTAGATGGAATTTTATTAGATGCTGGTGAGCATCAGTATTGATTATCAATTTAATGATGTGCAGATATTACTATTCTGTTTCAAACAAGAGCTGTGTTATGACTGCGAAAGTAACGGCGCGCAGTTCAAGGAATTAGAATATGTATGTAAAATTCACACAGCCATATCAGTGAGCACCAAGATCTTGGTTTGACCGTTTCTCGGCCTTCTTTCTAATACACAGTAATACGAATACACGGTTGGATATATATATATATATATATATATAATGTTGTATTCATTTGAGAGATTGTATTTATTTTCTCAATTTTAATTAATATTTCGTAACAGGCGAAAGTGGTCGTCCAGGACAACCTGGTGAAACTGGTCCACAAGGTCCCCAAGGCAAAGATGGAATTCCCGGTGAAAAAGGGGCGCCTGGAGCGACAGGACCCGTTGGTGTGCCCGGATTTCCGGGTGCTCGAGGTCAACCCGGAACACCGGGTAATCCTGGTATCCCTGGCACTAAAGGAGCACCCGTACGTATAATTACACCGTTCAAAAACTGTAAAGTTAATTTTTATGAAATTTTAATGATATTCTTGCAGGGTCTTCCTGGTGATAGAGGTTTCAAAGGAGAGGCTGGAGCGAAAGGTGATGCGGGCATGTTTGGTCCGCGTGGACTTCCGGGACCTCCTGGGAATGAGGGCAAAAGGGGTAAAAGAGGTATGCGTGGACCAATCGGCGCTGTAGGTCCTCCTGGAGAACGCGGCCCACTTGGAGTACGTGGTCTTCCTGGCTCGGATGGTCCTCAAGGACCTCAAGGTATTGGTTACTATATATATCTTTATAAAATTAAAGTGTCCTTATATATTTAAAAATATATGTATTACCTACAAAATTTTATTAATAATAACAAACATAATAAATATATTTAATATTTTGTAATATTGTTTAATTGTCTCTTAAAAAAAGGAAATATAAAAAAATTTTTCTAAATAGTATAAAAATACAAAAATTGATTAGAATAATAATGTATCTTAAAAGATAATATCTTAATTTATAATATCTTTCACATTTTACTTATTGTCAGTCTAATTTTCAGCTTTTAACGATTAAATATTTGAGGCTTATGATAGAATTTTTCAAAATTCTCCTAAGTTGTAATGATATTTGTATATTCTCTATTTTTTCATAAACATAATATAATAATTATAAGTAATCTTTTATAAAAAATTGTTAGGCCAACCTGGTGATCGTGGTCCTCCGGGAGCTGTTGGGTCGAAAGGTGCCATTGGAGATCCTGGACGACCTGGAGAAACAGGATTACAGGTATAATAAGATTTTAACATATTAGATTTTGTGTAAAAGTATTATAACAATAAATAATTATAGTAAAAAAAATTTTAGGGTGTGCGTGGTTTAATGGGTAGGCCCGGAGCTCCCGGAAAATCAGGTAATCCTGGAGAACGTGGAATTCAAGGTGCGGATGGCAAACCTGGAGAACAGGGTCTACCTGGACTGCAGGGTCTACCAGGACCATTAGGACTACCAGGGGAAAGAGGATATCCTGTAATTGTTATTAATTTCCCGTAATGAGTATATACTATAGTAGAATATAATGTAGTATAATTTAAACACGAAAATATTCTCCAGAGTAACAATATACAGAGTGTTTTAATCGCCTCAGGTGAATGAGTCATGGAATTGAAAAATACTTCAAACAAAAATTGTATGACTTTAAGGGGGATATAAAATGGTAGCATTGGTTTGACCTTGGATAACACTAATGCCAATGGTACTGTAACTTTCAAACCTTATAACTCGAAAAGTGTTTAACGGAAAAATATTTTATTATAGTGTTTTGAAAAGCTCTTGAGATAAGTTACAAGAATATGCAATTAAAAATTGGGATTTCATTAAAAAAATTTAAAGTGACCTTATCCTAACCTTGACAATGCCATCCAAGTTCAAATCAATGCTATCATTTTATGTTCCCCTTGAAGTACAACTTTTGTCTGAAGTATATATCTTTCAATTCCGTCTTATTTCCGAGTTATTCGCCCTCGGGGCGATTAAAATAAAATATTGTTAACCTTGTATAAGAATTAACATTAACATTATATTCTCTCTAATTTTATTATGCTTTTTCAATTTTTATTATTTAGGGAGAACGTGGAAAAGATGGTGAACCTGGTAATCCAGGTTCTTCTGGTCCAAGAGGAGATACCGGTAAAGAAGGTCTTCCAGGAGCACAGGGTCCCCCAGGTCCACCAGGAAGTGACGGCGCACGAGGTCTTTCGGGACCCCCTGGTTCTAGAGGTTTTCCAGTACGAAGAATATAGAAATATAATATTGTATTTCTCGTAATATGGAAGATAAAGTAATGTAAATTATCATGTAAACAAAGCATATGTTTGTTCGTATAGGGTCTTCCAGGCGTCCCCGGTAATTCAGGTGTTCCAGGCAAGGACGGAGAAGCGGGAGTACAAGGAGCTCCCGGTCCTCCGGGATTAGTCGGCAATAGAGGCGAGCGAGGACCTCCTGGAGAAAGAGGACTCATTGGACCTCCAGGACCTATGGGTTCTAAAGGAGAAACTGGAGCACAAGGCCCTGATGGTTTTATTGTACGTTGTTATTATCTATTTATCTTTTTTATTTATATTTATTACTACATATGAAATACAAATACAAAAAGCGTTTAAATAACAAAAAATTAAATCTACGATTAAAATATTTCTTAATTTAAAAAAACACATTTGTTTTTATTTTTAAAATTAGTTTTATTAAAAATAATTATTTAAATGTGATTTTATATATATTTACAGTAGATTTTCGAATTATTAATTTAATTTATTGGCTCTTCTGATAGCATCTTATGATACTCGTATGTATGTATAGTATCACTATGAAAGTTACGAAATTCATAGGCATATATAATGTACATATATATGTTCACATACATATAAAGTATACAATTTATACATTACTTTATATAGGGTTTACCAGGATCTAAAGGAGATAAAGGAAGTGTTGGTTCACCGGGATTATTAGGACTTCCTGGCATAAGAGGATTACCCGGCGAATTTGGTCAGAAAGGAGAAAGAGGCATACCAGGACCAATCGGTCCCGAAGGTCCACCAGGTAGTATCTTACGTTACTTTTACTTTAATTAATCTTAAAATATAAGCATCATTCTAATATAATCATGCTTTATTAAAATTTTTATTAAAAAACATTAATATTTTTTTATTTAAATATTTTTTACTTAAATATCATAGGACATATTGGAGAGCGTGGTCCACAAGGAGAAATAGGACCTTCTGGCCCTCCTGGAGAACCGGCGGAACGAGGTGATCCAGGTTCTCCTGGTCCCATTGGCGAGACAGGAGCGCCTGGCAATCCAGGAGAAAGAGGACCTCATGGATTGCAAGGCTCACAAGGTTTTCCAGGCCCACAAGGATTAATTGGACTTCCTGGTTTGAAAGGCGATCGCGGATATTCAGGTTTAAAAGGAGAACAAGGAAATCCGGGACTATCTGGTAATAAAAAAATTCTAAATTAGTAATAATTGACATAATGATTTATATAATAAACTTTTTAACTAATTTTTTAACAACGAGGAGAGAGTCAAAAAATCTGAAAAAATATTTTTTATAAGTCAATTGATACGAAATTCTATCTTACAGAGCACTATATCTATGTGTAAAATTTTTAAAATTTCTGAGAAATGACTGATCCGCTTCACGTGGAACAGCCCATGTATAAATATAATTGTTATATATTTTTTAGTATAAGATATATACTCAATATAAGATATCTTTAATACATTGAGGTATAATAATACATAATAAAATTATACATAATAAAATTATTTTTTGTGTACATAAAATATATAAATTACATAAAATATATAAATATATTAATTAACAGGTAGTCGTGGCGAGGCCGGATTACCTGGACCTATTGGACTTACCGGTGCTAAGGGAATTAGAGGTGAATCTGGTGCACGAGGCGAACCCGGTTTAATGGGGCCACCTGGTATCATGGGACATGTTGGACCATCAGTAAGTCGTTAACCTTTATGAATTTTATTACATTTTAATAAACAGACGTGAACAGTATATACTGTGAGATAAATAAAACATTGATAACAAAATAATAAATAAAATATTAGTCTAAAAATATTATAGGGATTACCAGGGAATGTAGGATCACCTGGTGCTCCTGGATTACCTGGTGTCAAAGGTGATGCAGGCGATCCAGGACGTCCTGGAAACCCAGGTCCAATCGGTAACCCTGGTCCATCTGGAGTTGATGGAATTAAAGGCGAAAGTGGATCTCCAGGCCCTCAAGGATTGATGGGTTCTCAAGGTCCTCAAGGTCCGCTCGGCGAAAGAGGTTTACCAGGTTTACCTGGTTCTCCTGGTTCTATAGGGATTAGAGGATTTCGCGGAGCTCCGGTAAATAAAAATATATAGTTATACATAAATAATTTTATGTAATTTTTTATATTTATGATTACTTATATTTTTATTATACATATATACAGGGTATATCTTAAATACCGCCCACTAATTATATAGTGTTATTCCTTATAAAAACCTGAATCGAAAAGTCCTGAATGATTTTTTTCTACAGGATGTTTCGTTTTAATCGCCCCAGGCGAATAACTCGGGAGGAAGACATGGAATTGAAAAATATTCCAGACAAAAATTGTATGACTTTAAGGGGGACATAAAATAGTAGGATTGGTTTGAATAAAATATTTTTCCATTACGCACTTTTCGAGTTATATAATATAAGACTTATAAGTTACCGTTACAGTACCGTTACAGTACCGCATTACAGTGGCATTAGCATTATTTAAGATATCCGAACAATAGCCAAAACTTATTGAATGTTGTTCAAAATCATGAGTTTGACAACATATGTTAAGGTCATGATCACAGGAGATTGTTCCTTTTTTTTAGAAAATAAATTTCAAAAATAAAAATGAGAGCAACAACGTTTAATGATTTTGATGTATGTTATCAAGGTCATGACCCTGAACAACATTCAAAAGGTTTTAGCCATTGTTCGGACACCTTGGATAAAGCTAATGCCAGTGGTATTATAATTTTCAAACCTTGTAACTTGAAAAGTGCTTAATGGAAAAATATTTTATTATAGTGTTTTGGAAAGCTCTCGATAAGCTATAAGAATATATATATATATATATATATATATATATATATATATATAATACACATATATACATATATAATAAAAGTATAAATAATTACAAATAAAAAATTGAATATACATATATGTAATTATTATATAGTGTATAATTGCTATAAATTTTTTTACTGCCATGTAAATAGTTTGAAATAAAATTAATTTATTTTTATTACAGGGTGAAATAGGACAACCCGGAAAACCAGGAGCGGAAGGTTCACCCGGATCTCCCGGATTAACAGGTCCTCCAGGTGTTCCCGGTCATTTAGGAGAAACAGGACCGGAAGGACCAATTGGAAAACCAGGACCGCCAGGTATAGGAGGCCGACCAGGTGACAAAGGACCACCTGGAGTGCCTGGTGCTGCAGGACCGTCAGGTCCTCCTGGATTACCAGTGAGTTATGACTTTTGCTCTATCTTTCTTTGTATAAATGTAATAAAATAATAATATCATATTAATGATAATTTATTCACATTCTTTTTAATAGGGATCACCTGGACTCACTGGACCTACCGGACTCACTGGAGAAAGTGGCCCGAAAGGTGAAACGGGACCGCAAGGTGTGGAAGGTCCACAGGTAAAATTTTTAATTAAATTAATGTAACTTTATAATAACTAATTGATTACACTGTTCAACAAAAAAATGACTTTTTTCGAACATTATACCTAGACTAATCATTTTCCGTAGTTTTGGGCACTGAATCTGCATCCGCTTGTAGAATGGCTCTATCACGTAACAATTTTGAGAAACTTGTAGATAAAGTTCCAAAAAAGGACTATTATCACATATTTTGTCATATTGTAACTTCAAAATGCTAGATAAGTGTTTGTGCGTTTAAAATTATGGTTAGGATTTTCTATTCTTAAAAGAGATTTTTTGTGTCCATTTGGTTAACAATTTATTTATTAAACATGAGATCTATTGCGGAAGAAACTGTGAATTAAATCATTGACAACTTGCCAAACAGCTTCTAATTTTGTTTATATCTACTTAAGTATTTTTTAAATCGCTGAATACTAATCCAATGTCATTTGGAATTTGTCAATTTTGACAAATTCCAAATGGCGGATTTAATATGGCGAATGTTATAACTTAAAAAAATGTTTAAAAATGTGTGTGTGTATTGGCGCGCGCGCGCTTGAGAGTGTATTCACATATAGATTATATTTTTTTTAAGCTTTATATTGAAAACTCTGGAAACGGACTCTGCAATTTGTCAGTTTTGTACAGTATTTAATGATTTCAAATGTTGTTTTTTTAAATATATCAATATATGTTATGTTTTTTGAGTATTTAATTTTTTGTTTAAAAATTAATAAACAAATCTGAAGAATTTTTATACGTTTGATAAATATTTTACTGTTTGGTAAATTGTCAATGATTTAATTCACGGTTCTTTCGCAACAGACCCCATGTTTAACAATAAATAACTTGTTAATCATAATGGACACAAAAAAGAATTCCTTATAAGAGTTGAAAAGTCCTAAAAACATACTTAATTTTGAGCGCACAAACACTTCTCTAGCATGTCGCATTTCGAAGTTACAATATGACAAAATATGTGAAAATAGCCCTTTTTGCAACTTTATCTGCAAGTTTCTCAAAATTGTGACGTGATAGAGCAATTCTACAAGCGGATTCAGATTCAGCGTCCAAAAAACTACGAAAAATGACTAGTCCGATTATGCTGTTTTTTTTTTGTTAAACTGTTACTTAATAAATAATACTGAAATTAATTAAAATAAATTAAAAATGAAATTAAATTTTAAATATTAAGATCTCTAAAATTACACACATACACACGCACACATATATATTTTAATATTTTCAGGGACCACGAGGAAAACCCGGTCCAGCAGGTCTTGAAGGTGTAAAAGGGGATCGTGGAGAAGAGGGACAGACAGGGGCCAAAGGACATCGAGGATTTACTGGTTTGCAAGGATTACCCGGATCTCCTGGTTTAGTAGGAGAAAAGGGAATACCTGGTCTGCCAGGACTTCCTGGTAAAGACGGAGAGCCAGGTATTAGAGGTAATCCTGGACGAGAAGGCAGTCCGGGGCCTATCGGACCTGCGGGAAATCCCGGACCAAGGGGTCCATCTGGCGAAGAAGGTCGCCATGGAACACCAGGTCCTGCAGGACCTCCCGGGCCACCTGGTCCTCCTGGAGAAATAGGTTTTGGTTACGATGCTGCAGCTTTAGCAGCATTTATAGGTATGCTTTAATTAATTTAAAATGTAGTCCATATTTGTAAAGACAATCTAATCACAAATATCATATAAAACATTTCTAAAAAACATTACCAAAATGTCATCTAAACATTTTTTTAGATTGTTCTGTATTATTTAAGTTTTTAATATATTGTAAATAATTACTTTAAAAAATATTTTTTAAATTATAGTAAATATATAAATTATAATAAATATATATAATAAATATAAATATCATATAAAAAATTTCTAAAGAACGTCACCAAAATGTCATCTAAACATTTTTTTTAGATTTTTCTTATTTAAACTTTTAATACATTGTAAATAATTACTTCAAAAAATATTTACTAAATTATATAAACTATTATTATAGTATAGGTAAAACATTTTTAAAATTATTTATTTATTGTATAGGACAAGGCCAAACTAAAGGACCAGATCCACTTGGTGATGAACCACCAAGAATATTTAGTAAAGATATTACTGAAAAGGAACGAAGAGAGCTCCTTTTGAAAGCGTACGAAAATCTAAAAACGTCATTCCAAAAATTGGTGAAGCCAAATGGTGAAAAAAATTCGCCTGCTAAAACCTGTCGAGATCTATTTGCTGCTTATCCGGAAAAATTATCTGGTAAAAAGTTACAATTTAAGATTATAACATTTTACACTTTTATTTATTTTAATTTTTTAATTTTGGTTTTTTAACAAATATATAAAAAACGTAAAATTATATAAATATTAAATTTGCAAAGCTGATTAAATTTCTTCTTAGAAAAAAAAATTGAAAATTTTAATCGCACGATAAGCAAATATTAAGAGTAACAAAAGTATTAATATACACTTCGTATTTAAATATTTAAATTAATATAAATTTTTACTTTCTTAATAGGTGAATATTGGATTGATCCAAACGAAGGGGATATTCGAGATGCGATCTTAGTGTATTGCGATGCTGAGAAACGTGCGACTTGCATTTTACCGAATCCATCGCGTTTGCCAGAGATCACTCACATTACTGATCAACAGGAGACTTGGTTGAGTGAGATAGATAGCGGCATGAAGGTTATATTATATTCTATATATTTTCTCTAATTCTAATTGTTAATCGGCGCAACAAAAAATATAACCGTTACAAAATAATTAATTATAAAATAAATTTAATTATTGCATTCAGATTACATACAAGGCAGACAGTAATCAAATCGGTTTCTTGCAATTGCTCTCGAAACACGCGAATCAGAATATCACATATCATTGCAAGAACAGTGTAGCTTACTTCGATTATGAGAAAAAAACATATAAAAGGGGCTTGAGGCTTTTGACTTGGAACGATGTTGAATTGACACCACGAGGCAATCAACGCCTTAGATATGAAATGTTAATGGATGAATGTAGGGTAAGTCAATTTTTAAATACAATAGTTTTATTTGCATTAGTACTCCTCTTTTTAATCACTCTATTTTCATTTTTTAAATATAACAAATTTATAAATATTAGTCTTAATATTTTAAAATTTTGTATCTTATTAATTATGTATATATAATTGTATTTATTAATTTGTTACATTTGATTAATATATAATTGTATTTATTAATTTGTTACATTTGACTTAAATTATATTAAAATTTAGTTTGTTTGAATTTAAAGACATTGCATTAAATACGCAGGAAGCGAATAAAACACACACACACACACACACACACACACACACACACACACACACACACATATACACAAAACAAAACAAAATTTCATTTTAAAATAATTTTACGTATGTTTTATACTTTGTAATTTATTCGTACATTCATTAATTCGCAGTTCTATCAAGGCCATTGGGGTAAAACTATTGTTTCGTATGAAACGGATAAACCTGTAAGACTTCCTATCTTAGATGTGGCCCTGCGAGATATCGGAAAACCGGAACAGAGTTTTTCCATTGAGATCGGTGCAGCTTGTTACGATTAAAATATACGATAGTACGAGATTGTGACATTGCGTTTATTACCTTTTGTGCCTATATATCTGTCGTTTTCCATTGCATAATCTTTTAATTAAGGAATTGTCTGTCAATTTTATAAAAATATAATTACCCAAGCAGAACAAGACATGGTGTCTTCAAAATGCATGGCTTTAAAATGACTCCAAAATGATTATTAAAAAACACTTCGAACAGTTATATATGATTCATCTTAACATAATTTTTACGTTATCGTGTCTTGTTGTTTTTACTGGTGTATACATTAATTAATTCGATTTACAGTGGCTAATTACTAAAAAAAAACTAAACATTACTTAATCCGTAATGACTCTGTGTTATTTTTTATGCAAATTCTCAAATAGCGGAAATTTAATTTACGAATATTTAATAGAATCAACGTTAATTATATTGTCCTTTATTTCTAGGATAAAAGCAAAACTAACTTAAAAAAAGATATGGAAAATACATATCATTTGGATATTTTATAATATTATATGTACCAATTAGAAAAATTTTCGGGATATTTAAATATTATTCAATCAAATATTAATTACCTGAATATTTAAGTATAAAAATATATATAAATATATTCGCACGATATATAACGTACCATTAAGGATTTAATTTACTCAATGCGCACAATGTTAAAGTATTATTATGTACATAATGAAGTTTCATAGATATAGCATATCACTATTATTTTGTGCAGCTATTTAGGAAAAATAAAATTGTGCATTATCAAAGTTAATATACTCAGTCAATATTTTTTGTGTCCTACCAAAATATCGTTTTGCTGAGCGAAATTTTTTTGCTAATTTATAAAGTTTCACATTTATTTTTTCATTTATCATAATAATGTGCTAATGGAACACAATTCGTATATATCTTCTTTAATTAGAAAGAGCGAATTTTTCGAATTATTTTTTTTTTGTTTTTTATCTTTTTTCAAAATATAAACGTATGCTTGTTTCTCCGTAGGAAATATAAGAAAGAACATAAACAAAATATATTTATTTTAATTAAAAATACAGAAAGATGTTTTATGTGTGAACTACATTATCTGCTGAAGTTCCATTTAATCATGGATTCCGATGAATCTACTAGCTACTGTTGGCGCATGCGTGGATGGAACTTTTCTTACGACAGCGTCGTCAGCAAAGTCTGACCATTCTGACCAACGCTGTATCAAAACAGTTTGACACCCGATATGAGAACGAACTATACAATACGTATATATAATTGTACAAAATTCACAGTTATTTCTTTGAATTAACGCTTCTTTTTGTTTAGTATAGTAAATGTGACAAAAAATATTTTCAAAATATATTTATTATTTATATATTTAGCTATATATTATATTTATAATTATACAAGTATATGTATATATTTTTTAGCATTATCGATATAAAATAATATATAGCATTAACGATATAAAATATATCGTTAAAAATATTATTATGTCACTAAACAAGACATTATAATTTCTGTTTCATTATAATTATTCTGTGACATTATAATTAACGCTTCTTTTCATTTATATTAAACGTTACAACTGATATTAAGTGTTAAATATAATATATGATGTCATTATATAAATTATATAGATTATGTATAAGATACACAATTTATAATTATAATTTATATCTACATTATAACTTTTTATAATATAACAAAGTAATGTTACAACTACAGTAAGACGAACAAATTCAACGTCTGGCTGACGTGATTCGTTACTTCGCATCATTTGTGTCACGACGATACCACGAAAGGGAATAACTATAATTGTAAGTATGTGGGGAGTTGCGGGCCGCGAGAGCTCGCGAGATGGCACTTTACTCTTTACTTCTAGCCTCATAGCCTGGCCAATTCAGTCGTGCTTCGACCGCTTGCGTTGTTACTCGTCGTATTGTTCATCGTGAGGAACGCGATTGAGATCATCCGGTAACGGGAGAAAAACGTGAATTCGCGAAAATCCAGGCGTCAGCGCGGTCAACGTCGCCACCGGCGTGTTCGCTCGCGATTAAGTCGGATTCCCAGGTACGGATCTCGCAACGAAATTCACGTGGCAGTGTTTCTCGCTTCGACCGCGCGTCCTATACCGGACGCGGCTGTGCTTCCTCCTGTTCTATCGATCCTCATAAGGCCGTTTTCGCGCGCAATTTTTCCCACGGGCGACAAGCACCGGGGATAAAAGAAGAGATCAATTGTAACCCGCTAATTATAAGATTGAAGTTGACCCTATTCGAATTCGTTTTCGGGTCCCTCCTGACCCATAAATGAAAGCCTTTTACCGCTTATTACCGTGGCGGCGCGGCGTCAGTAGCTCGATTGTGTTCAATCGTTATTGCCCTTGGCGATGAAAGAATTATTTCGGACGTTTCGGAGCGGCGCTATCAAAGCGATATTAAATCTTTCGTGCGCCGACAGAGAAATATTAATAAGAAAAGCTATTTAATTTTAATAAAAATATTATCATGACATATAATATTGATATATAGTTTATAATATAATTATATAAAATATTTAACATAGTTTAATTACAATATAGAGATTAAAATTTTACAGTTCATAATAATGAAATCCAGTAAATCGAATAATAAAGATTTCATTGAATAATTTCAGCAATGAAATAGCGAAAAAATCAACGACATTTGTAAAAGAAATAATGAATTTGCAGCTGAAAAAAGACATGATTCTTTTCAACGTGACTTTAGCGATAAATCAATCTGTCATTTAACAATATTTATGTGCTGACATTGACAAGTCCGGTTTTTCATTGTGAATCAACATTCGTAAGTCACAATGTGCATACTTATGTTTTATTATTACGAAAACAAAATTAGAAAGACAACTCTGCCAAACTCAGTGAACACATGTCACAGAGAAGATGTAACTTATCAATGTGTTACGTCGGACTATCCACAAATACTATAACGAAAATGCGCGTCAAGAACACGTAAATTTGTCTTACATATATAATTATAGCTGTTGCCGTATTCATCCGCGTGACGTAACGAAGGACAAGCCACTGCACGATATCATTTATCAGATAATTTTAGCGATAAATTGCAAAGTAAAGTTTTCGATTCTAATAAGACTTAATTAAAAAAAAAAAATAGAAAACTAAAAAATGAAAAATATTATTTCATGAACAAAAGCATTGAATGACGCAAAAGTTATTAACGTAATAAAATTATAATCAAACTTTGCGTTATATGAATTGCCAATATATTTTTACTAAATACTGATAAATTATTTAAAGAAAAAACATTTACTATCTTTTTAAAAAGATATTGTTTTACGATAAAAAAAAATAATATCAAAATTTACATTAATTTTTTATTTATAAAATAGAATTGCTAACTTATTGAGTTGAGAATACGAATTTCATTGTTTTACGCGTTTTTTTTTCATAATTTTGTGGATAATTGTTATCACGTGAACAAAACGTACGAGTAATGACATATTCTGCAATTGTACACTCATTGTGTAAATTACATAAGATCGCGAATAATTGCTTTCCATAGAAGCGAGAGCTTGTACGGCTCACTTCGAAATATCTAACTCTGACGAAAGTTTGAAAATTATTGCGAATTGTGCGATTGTGGAATTATTTGATATCGCGATAACTTTTCTTATAATCTTATTGAAATAATCCATTCCTGCAAAAATATCCCACAATGTAGACAGTTGTGTGGACGAGTGTCATAACGTGTCATGGAATCAGCGAATTGTGATTAATTTTATCAACCGTCCGTAGATACGTAATCGAAGTGATTCACACATTTGTAATTCGAATAATGTTTGTGAGTGCAAAATTTGTATCCGGAAGTGTTCTATTAAGACAATTTCAAATAAAGTGTTTTCTCTCATAGTAGAAATGCCAGACGCAAGAAGCGGTTAATGAGGCACGTTCCATGATTGAAAAATTTGTAAATATTATATAATGATTTCCAATAAATTTGAAATAATACATTTAATTTTTTAAATTTAAAACTACATGAATTCTTTTCCACTATATTCCACTGAATTCCACTATATTAGATTCAAATTTAATTAATTTACAGCCTTCTTAATGCTAACTTGACTAAGAAATGTTTTATATACAGAATTAGTGATAAAAAATTAGAGAATATTAAAATTATTGAATGATAACGAACAATTATTAACAGTTAAATTAATCGTTTTAATTTATAATTAAATACCAATTAAAAATTTGCAAAATATGATATTGTTTTGCAAATATATATATATAATATATCAGTAGTTATATATTAATAATTATCTACTCTAACGATTCGTTATTCAATAGCATTTCTCACAATGGTTTATATGATTGTAATTAAAGACGAGGGTTTATATTTCTGTGTGGCATCGTAATGCTAAGTATATAGAAGTCGCTTCTGTTTCATATTTTTCTTATCTTGTATCCGATGCGCGATTGGCAAACAAAAGATTAAAAATAGGATAAAGTACTTCAGTGTTGAAAGTGCAGTGTCAATTGAGGAGAAAACCCTGAATAAACGTCTTGAGGATATCGCACTCGATGGCGCAGGTCGGTCGATGAACGTTAAAATCTGGCAAACTTATCGCTTTTTTGTATCGCTTAAGCTTACGTTAGTATTGCACAATGTGATACGTAATTGTCACATGTTCATTGTTTTTGTTTTGATTTAAACTTTAATTTTTTAAAAACATTGTTTACAAAATTTTTTACAATTTATTTTTACGTACGCGGACAAAATATAAAAAAATAATTTTTTTTTTATAAACAAATGAGTTTAAAAATATTTAACAATTCAGTTTTTGTTGAGATAATTTTTTTTAGTATTCGTATTTTTTAGTATCCATACATTATTTTCTTTACAATAGTCAACAAGTACGGCAACAGTTTAAAACACGTTCGCTAGTTCTTATTAACATATTCTTGCAAAATTTCTCAATTATAGCTAATTAAATACATTCATTAGCAACTTGTAAGTTTCTCAAAATCTACAATCGTTTCACATAGATTCATGTCCGCATAGCATTGCGCAAGTTCGAGCAATTCCTGTGTTGTAACAAATTAAACATAGGATAGGCGCATTATACTATATAGATATGTCAACAAAAGTTTTTGATCCTATAAAAATTTATGAGATTATTGAAAGATCAAAACGTTGAAAAACAACTAATCTTATTAATGTGAACTCTCACGTGTGTGTGTGTGTGTGTGTGTGTGTGTGTGTGTGTGTGTGTGTGTATGAGCGAGATGCCAAATAAATTTATCAATCTACAGTTTTATTAATTTTGCGACTCGTGGACTGATCGTTTCGTTTTGAATCTTGATCGGAACATATATTGAAGACATCTTGCGTAACGGATTCTATAGATTCATTTCTCTCCTATGGTAACAAAATCCATTAATAAAAAAGCAGTAAATCAATAAATTTTCTAATAATAAATTAAGCAAGTTAATAGCAAATTTATTCTTCATGCGGTTTTAGACAAATAAACAAAAACAGAAGGAAATAAATTTATTAGATACAAACAAGAAAACACAAAAGGACAAATTGCTAAAGATATTTTTTTTTATACATAATTCTCGTCAAAGAGAATATAATTTTTATCTTTTCTTGAAAAATTGACGATAAAATTTCTCGTAAAATTATCCAAGTTCCTCAGGTTCGTCCCTGCTCCAGTTTAGAGCTCTCTTTGTCATTCTCCCTCGGTCCAGCACGTGGTCACGCGACATAATATTGCGCAAGCCCGGACGACTTCGCTCAACTTCAATATCGTGATTTAAATATAGAAATTGTGGATTGGTGTACGTGCCGCGAGCGTAACGGCGGATGCCGCGTGTTTTTCAGGCATCCTCGTGACCGAGTCATCCCTCGGAGGACGTACGGTGTGTCGAGCGGTGTGTTGACGACGTCAAACGCGTAGGTGGCAAAGGTGGAGGAGCATCGTCTGCGACCGTCGAGACTTCGAAATCCGCGGGACGACATGACGCAACGCGGCCGACAACGAATCGATTGAACACCGAAAAGCGGGAAGCGAGCCGGCCTCAGTCGCGAAGTCGACCGCCGATCGATGAGAATCCGTGTCTGACAACGCCGAAGAATTCGAACGTGCGAACCTTTCTTCCACTTCGTCGGCACCGCGTGCGCAGCATCTCATTCTCACGCTGATAACGCGACGTACGTTCGCGGCAAACGACGAAAATGGCCCTCTTCCGGAAGTTCAACGGTAAGTACTGACCAATTGGTGATCATTAACTGCATGACGAGCCGTGATTTGATCTACTATCTCACATTTTTGTTGATTTACTACGATCTTTAGTTTTATTGATTTTTATTTCTATATTATTCCATTTTAACCTTTAGATATCCTAATCTATTATTTTTATTATTAAAGATAAAGTTTCTTGGAAATTGAGACCATATTATTTCAATATTTATAATTGATATACTGGTTTTGTAAGTACCATATGCGATGTTATAAATGCAAATGTACCTTCTACTATAATATGTAAATCCGTAATACTACTTTTATATAGAGATTTTTGTGCGTTTAAAATATCAAGAGATATGTGTATTTAGTATCTATAACATTTGGAATATGTATATTTATTATATACTATTTTTAAATATACCTGTTTCAATTTTTGATAAAATGTCGATAGGTCAGTGTTCAATATGTTTGCCAATATATATTCTTGGACTTCAGTAAACAAATTTCGAAGTCGCATACATGTCACTTACACAGTTAACTCTCACATAGTTAAATATAGAACATGAATAATGAGACAAACGCATAATTGACTTGGTCATAATAATCACAATGCGCGTAGTTAAAATAAAGGAGTAGCTCACCTCTCATATATCAATATTTCTTTTAATATGAGATATACGTGTTTTTATTTATTACAACATATTTTAACAAAAAATTTCTAAAAGGAAAAAAAATTCATTTTTTTTTTCAACATTATTTTTCTTCGAAGGAGAGTCTATGAAGTAATTTTTGCAAATATTGCACAATTAGCAGTGTGTAGATTTGTATTACTCTATTAGTTACAAAACTTCCTAAGTGATAAGCATCGTTGGAAATGATAAGTATTACATAATCGCGTGCGTGCACCATGCAAAAATCTCAGGGAGTGATAGCCAACACACGATATCAGGCGATACACACGACTTCGCGTCGCTTCAATCTAAACGGAAATTCAAATTAGCAAACATTGCGCATCGCATTATGCGAACGCGTAGGTACCCGTCACGTGCAACACATTGGTATTGGTATTTTTCCTGCAGTGTTTTATCCAAGCGCTTCCGAGTCTTCAATTCCGTACAAACTACTTGTAACTCGAGCTGTTATTTTGCACCGTTCACTTTGCAAAAATAGACCAATGGAATAGGCAGGTTACTCATCCACGGTCATCCAATGCTGGCACATTTTCCCGTCTTAAAAAAAAAATATATGTATATATATATATATATATATATATGTATATAATACGAACCAATATTTATAGTACGCACAATTTATCGGAGTTGATCGACATGTGCTCCAGAAACACTGATCTAAATCTTTGACGGTGATTTCTCTTTAAGAAATTGTGAGCCAGATAATCCAATGGATTTGGAAAGAGTCGATCTTTTTATTTAGGGACAATTTTATAAGAAAATTATATTACTAATTTATCACTTATTAAAATTGAAATTCTTTCGCAATCTTTAAAATTAAAATTTTTTTATTTTTACTTTTAGCAGCAATTTTATAAGAAGGTATTTATTATTATTATTATTCATTTACTTCCTAATATTACACATTTATATTTCAACATATTAATATTTCAAACAATGTAAACTTTTAATCAAAATTATTTGAAAATAAGTTTCACCTAATGTTATAAGAAAGTTTCTATGTATTGTAAAACATTTAAAATTTAATTTAATAAATTTCTTATTAACAAAACAATTGTGACAGTTGATATTGGACACACTATACATTTACAACTATACGAACCGCAAGTTAATGAGGTGAATGACTTGCGTTCAACGCGTAGGAAATTACCTGGAACACTATGTCGTAAATGTGATCTCACTGTCTGAACTATTTTCTGTCTAAATATATTTTCTATGAAAAATTTGTGTGAATGAGAGACAGAGGGAGAGAGAGAAAGAGAGAATGTGTATTTGTGTTTGTTAATAAAAACATTAGCGTTAGTATTATAAATATTATTGCGATTTGACACATCTGACCTATCGGGATATAATTAAAAACGTATAAAAAAAGTGTTGAATTATGCAGTTAGGGATACAGTAATTTAAAATATTGCTCGTTTTGTTATTTAATAACGTTGCATATTTGATTTTTTTTATAAATGATAACTTTATACAATTTAAATCGCAGATTGCAATTGTGTGTTTGCATTTGTCATTACTTTGCAGTGGTAAATAATATAACGTCGCGTTATTTTTGTCATTCGTTAAAATGCGCGTTGTTCTCTGACCTTTGAACACACGCGTAGTTGCTCAAACCAATAATATGGCAAATAAACAAATGTTATGAGATATAACTAAAAACTAAAAACGACACGAAGAAGATGTACAAAAAGATATTGAAATTATTCCCTGATCACGTAATTTTAAGAATCGATTAATAAATAAAATTAATTTTATACTTATAAAACATAATAAATTTTAATTAAATCAAGACTTAAAAGATAATACTTATATATCTTATTTATCATTGAAAGATTGCAAGTAGAGATATCTTTTGATGATAGAGCTTTTAATTAATTTTATAACTAAATAATAACACGCTTTTTATTGTTAGTAAATTTTAACAAAAGTTTTATTTCTTTACTAAACTGCTTATATGATTAAAAATTTGTGATAAATTATATTTTTTATTAAGTTTTTACTAGAGAAGAATTAATTTCCAATTTAATAAATCTGTAATTGACGATTAATCTACATACGATTCGTATGTCAAAGATATATTGCCTATACCTATAAGAATGCGAAAATAATGTTAAATCAAGTCGGTTTGGTTTTTCAAAAACATTCTTTCAATAACATTGATTTAAAAATGTAGGTATCGCATCATACGATATGGAAAAGATGAAAAATGTCTGAATAACACAGTGCGCTATCGATTCGATTCCTGCTCATCATGTTCTGCAATTATCAGCAATTCAATGAGCCTACGTGCATCGTTAATTCAGCAGAGAAGTAAAATTGCACTCGATCGAGCACATAGTTACATACCGTGACCTTCTGAAGTTTGTAATCTGATACATCAATGTTTTTCCTTGAACGGGATTCTCTTGTAATATGGTCAAGGTTGCAAATGGCTCGCAAATATTAACGAGTTACATCCTAAACGCATTAGGATAATTAATTTTGTAGATAATTATAAATCATGTTATCATCATGTATGTTTTAGTAAAATAATATATGTTACAGTGTGTTACTAAATTGTAATACTAAAAATAGAAAGATAATAACGTGATAATAATAAAATTATAAATGTAACATTAAATTTATTAAAAGTATTTAATTATTTTTTACATAAGTTGCCGACCCAGAAAATATCTTTTTATTCTTATATCAAAATTTTTATTTGTTTAATAGTCTAAAATCTAATATAATAAAAATCTAATATATCGTAAAATGGACAGCTGCTCTATTTTTATTGGATATCATGTATTCAATGGAACGCAAAGTGTTTACTGTCGAAGATACATCGGTCATTCTTGATTTAAGATTATTAGGTATTATGTGCCGATTCAAAGGTCATTCTCGACTTCGCGTTATAGTGGAGCGGACAGAAATGCTTCGCGTTATACAATGTCCATTTTCGTTTATTGCCGACATGAATCATACACATCAGTACGACAGTACTTTAATAAAAAAATTAATACTGTAAATAGATTACAAAAGATTTAGTAACTGCAATATATGTATAGTAATAATACATATTAATTATAGAAAGAGAATAAAAAATACAAAAATAACTTATAACTTAAAAAATGTATCCTCGCGCGCGCGCACGCGCGTAAACTTAATCCAAATAAATTGCAATTATAATATTTATTATTTAAATAATAATTATAAACTTGTCAAAAGAAAATTGCTTTTTAAATATATTTAACTGATTTACTAAATTATTATTATATAATTTATTATTAATAAATTATTGTACTGAGAAATATATTTAGCATTTAGTTAACAAATTATTATTAACTGTACTGGAAGATGTATTGTATTTAACAAATTGATATAATTATATATCTTAACTGTTCTCTAGCAACAGGTATTTCTGTGTGTTACAGAGAAAATCCCTCGGAGAGCAGTCCTGGGGTCGATGATGTTCTTGGCTTGTATGTTCTCCTACGTTATTCGTACCAATTTATCCATAACTATTGTCGCCATGGTAAACACTACAAGCAAAGACGGCGGCGTCGGGCCAGCTTGTACTGTAGCGGATTTAAAAAGCAATAAGACCGTTGTGATTAAAGATGTAAGTCTGAACGTTTGTAAAATTTGCACAAGTGAAAATATCTCTCTATCCAACGTAACTATGATAACAATATTGCAAATATTATATAGCATAGAATGCAATGCAACTACTGCAAGCATTGTTAGTAGATATTTTTTTGTGTAATAAAATTATTTTATTGCAAACAGTGTATGTTCCACAAAACTATAAATATATCTTTTCTTATATTTTAGTTTGGGGAGCGTTTCGAATGGAATCAACATATTCAAGGACTATTACTATCGGGATACTTCTATGGTGTTCTGCCGGCTAGTGTACCAGCTGGACTCTTAGCTGAAAAATACGGAGGCTCTAAAGTAGTAGCGTAAGTATAATCAAAATAAAATAATTAAATAATCATTAATCACTTATTTTAGTTATCTATGATTGTTGTACTTTTATGACATAGATTTGCCACATTGATACCTGCAGTATTAAATCTTCTGATGCCTTGGGCTGCTAGTGTCCACTACGGTTTTGTTTTTGCACTCCGTTTTGTAATGGGATTTTTCGGAGTAAGTCACTTAATCATTCTATATGTATGTATATATCATATATGTATGTCTCTTCTAAATGTATTGTGAGATTATTGTGTTTAACAACATTATATAAACTACATTGATTTTTAAATAAGATATCTATATAAGTTTTTAAAAGAATAATATATTAATTTATAGGGCGCGGTTTATCCCGCTCTTCACGCGATGATTGCCAGATGGGTGCCACCTGGTGAAAAAGGCATGTTTGTGTGGACTATGCAAGGTATCATTTCTTTATTTTTTAATTCTTTAATATAAAATTTTCTTGACTATATGTATATTTATGCATATTTTTTTTTCAAGGTGGTCCATTCGGAACCGTAGTAACATTTGCTTTATGTGGCGCGGTAATCAGTGCTTACGGGTGGAAAGCTGCATATTACGTTACAAGTGGGCTTATGTTAGTTTTTTACGCTTTGTGGGTATTTCTAATCTACGATACACCGGATTTACATCCTAATATCACGGAGAAGGAAAAGACGTACATAAAGGAACAAATAGGCACTACCGTTTCAAAACAAAAGGTGTGAGATACGTTTTTCGTTAAATAAATATTAAATATTAAATAATGATGAACCAAAAGTAAGAAACAATTATTAAATAATCTAATTATTTTATATTTTATATTTTTACGCAGGTCCAGCTACCGGTGAAAGCAGTCGCTACATCTCCACCGTTTCTAGCATTACTGTGGGCTCACTTTGCAAACATGTGGGGAATTTATTTCATTGCTACAAACGGACCCAAATACACGTTGGAAGTTCTTGGTTTCAATATGAAATCGGTATTGTTTCTTACAATTTTATTTTATGAAGAATGCTTCGATTGTAACATCATTTTTACCTTGTCATTACTAAAGACGGTTCTGATATTTTATGTATAGGGTGGCGCCATAACTGGATTACCTTATATAGCTAGATTAGGCGCTGGTGTATTGTTTGCAGCAGCAGGCGATTATGTGCGAAGGAAGAATTTCTTATCTTTAACCTGGATAAGGAAGATATTTATGCTGTTCTGTAAGTAACTTGAAACGGTGTTGAGACCGTCGTAACTTCGGAATTGAGTTATTAAAATGTATGCATGTGGACGATTGTTATCTAACCGATAACTCATAAATATGACTGTTAACAGCTCACATGGGACCTGCAGTTTGTCTGGTAGTAATGACATACGTGGGTTGCGATGCTACAACCGCAATAATAATGTTAATACTGGCGTTGGCCTTCAATGGAGCCGCCTGCCAGACCAGCTTACAGAATCATCAAGACCTGGCACCGAACTATGCCGGTTCGTTATACGGAATTATGAACACATTTGGCAGTTTCCCCGGATTCATCATTCCACCCATTATTGGAGCTCTAACCAATGAAAGGGTATGTTACTTTTCTATATAAAAATTACATGCATAATAATTTAATTAATGCATTAAAGATATAAATAAATTTTCTAATCTTTGAGAATGTTGTGAACTATTCGATAAAAGCGTATATAAAATGATTTATATATTTTTTACATTTTTATTACATTTTGATTATAGAACGGCGTGGAGGAATGGCGCATAATGTTTTGGATATCGGCGGTAGGGTTTATATCAGCAACAATCCTCTTTTGGATATTTGGATCTGGAGAAATTCAATCGTGGAACGATTCGACTCATACTAAAGTGCCTACTGTTTCCGAAGAGGAGAAGCAGATAAACGAAACAACAACGAAAGACGGGATCGATACGGAAACGGAGGAAAATGAACGTCTCTAGTGAGTTAGGAAATGAAAAAAAATAAAAAAAAAATATATATATATATATTCATGTCTGTACAAAAATTAGTCCAAAGTTGGGAAGAGACTGCATCTGAATTTAAATTGCTGCAAAGTTTTTGACCTCTCTGTTAAAATGTCATACTTTATACAGACCGACCAGTTTGTATAGCTTCTAATTGTTAAATGGGTAGAAAAGTGATCGCTAGATTATTAATATATATCTATACATAGAGAAACACAGGAGAATCGAAATGATGTACAGAATATTCGATATATGTAGACTATTCAATCATATTGTAATACATTTAGAATATTCGTGCTCCAGTTACAGATACACGTTGCTAGAATATCACGACGCGACATATCTTTCGTCTTAATCCGATTTACCTTTTTAGACGCAAAGTTATATTTTCACTGCTCTTTTTTTTACTGCTATTGTATAAGACTGTGGAAGTTAAAACTTAGATTTTATACACTTTTTCGTAATTTTCAAGCGTTTGTAACGTCTCGAATGTTTAAGTATTTATATATATATATATATGTCTGATATTACGCTTTTGTCATTCATACATTTGAGAGTGTCACGATCGCGATCGTCAAATACCCGGGAGAGGGGCTATAAACGTGGTATTCAAACAATGTAATGTATCGAAATGTAAGAATACTCTGTAGTGCATTTTTTATTTCGTGCCAAAGTACACGTATGTTGCTCTCATTGAACACTCGACTCGTAACGGCAGTCGATATAATACTAGGTTAAGGAACCTTGGCACTGTCTTCGGGCCATTAAACGGTCGAGGTTACTCGATATTATAAATACATAACGCTAGATACATTATATAAATAAGCATATATATGTTTCTTGTTATACGTATAATAAATCCTTCTTTGCGAGGCGATTTCATAACTGTGATAAATATTGGCAGGAATTTACGCACAACAGTTTAATTACGATTTAAATAGTCTCGGTTCTTTGACTTACTTATAGGTCATGTACCATTTCAAATTAGGGTATTTCCGATAAATGCGAAATATATTGAATACGAGAGCTCGCTTTACGCAACAATTTACGTATTTGAACCCCATTGGTCGCGTATAACAAGAAATCTTTATATATATTCTTCCCGTCGTTTACGAGCGCTCAAATGTGTACAAATGTGTAGTTGTAGCGATAAAAACTTATCTTGTAATTTTCATTTTATGAGATGCGTCCGTGATGAGAGAGGCGGCAATGTCACGATTGAATTCGCTTTGCATCCAGAGAAAGACATTGCGCTCGTGAATAAGCGGAGAAGAAATGCATTACGTTTGTAAATCGTGAGAAGCGTGGCTCGTACACATACAATCGTACGTTAGAAATTGAGTACGTTCGCACCGTAGGAAAATAAGAAATACTAAATAAATGTGTTGTTCCTACATTTGAAAAAGACGATCATTGTTCAAGTCGAGTTTTCGACGCAATGTTCATTGTGCTGTCAATAATAACGTTATTACGAATTACGTCAAAAATTTGTGAGAAGCAAGTATTTAGCAATAATATTTGTTGCGCGTGTAAAAAAAATACATGAGGATTACAACTCGTTATTTTAAAGTACATAAATCACAGCGCACGTAGATGTGTGTTATAATTATATTAAGTTGCATTATCTTCTCAATCATTGCGATTTTCATACTTTTTTCTTTATACATGTTTACGATTAAGTCATGACAGCATTTGTTTTATGAATTTCACAATTTACAATTTAAATTGTAGCGGTGAATTGTAGTAATTTACATATGTAAGAAATAATCGAATATATTTTGTGCGATTTCATTACAAAGTAATAAAGAAAATCATGTATCCACAAGTGGTCAAATTTATTATTTATTAAATTCTAATTAATTAAGTCTGGTGTTTTTCTATCTCTCTTGAGTTTTATACTAATAAATAAGGAAAATGAACAAATCTATTTATCAATCTAATACAGTTATGCATATCCTTATTCGCATATTAACTTTCTAAGAAAATATGTTATGTGTATAAAAATTTTTTTTCTTATTATATTATCATAAAAGAAAAATTTCAGATTTTAATCTATTTGTTTGAGTTATTAACTTATTCTGTGCATTGAAATTTTCTGTGAAAATTAAAGGAGATTTGAGGGTTACGAATGCCATCAAATTGATTAAACGTCATATTAGATTTGTATTCTTTTCAGCATAAATTTCAGCAGCTTCAGTCGATTCAATCAAGCTTATGGCCTTCTTATAAAAAGAATATGGTTTATTGTGGTTTTCTTTTACAAAGTAACATAGTTTTATATTATAGTTTTGCATTATGTAATTATATCTCACATTAATAGGACAGACAATAAAGTAACTTTATTTTTATGAAAAAAATTATTCTTGTAGAAATAAAATGCTTTGACATTTTATAGAGGTATTCGCTTCACTTTGAGAATAAATGTCCGTATTTCCATCGGTTTCAAGAGAATATTGATTATATTATCATGAACCTCCGGTAATGAACATTCTGCTTGTTTGCAGCTTACTTCTTCATCCTGGATAACATCATTCGTTTCTAGTTTCCATTGCATAGGTTTATTTTCGCTCAATAACTGATTAGCCCCTAATGTGGTCTCTTTGATCGATTCAATTGAGAACATTGAAAATAGATTCTGTTGAGAAAAATAAAATGTAAGTTTTTCTTTTATTACACAGTTTCTAATTAACTATTGTCATCGAATTTTTATAATATATTAGCGGTAATTGCAAAAAATATAATCGGAGATTTATTTATAAGAAGGAAAATTCACCTGAATGTCAATTTCTACTGGCTGAGATAGCCGCTGAGCCTCACCGACTTCAAAGAGATGCTCCAATCTCAATAGAATCGTGTCATCTTTCCACGGTTCTAAGGTAAGAATGTGCACATTCGGTGGCAATGCTTTATTAAGACCAGATGTCTGCAATATATAAATACCAATTAATGAATGTTATCATCATTTATAAATAACGTTGATAACTAATAATAAATTTTAGTAGATTATTTTAAGTGAAAAATCCTAAATAAGCCTTTGAAATAAATTGTTTACACATTAATTGTAAATTACATTGTATCTTCTACACGCAAAATAGAGATTAAGTATTAGTAGTATTAGTAGATTAAGTACGTACAAAATTTTTGAGTACAGCACATACGTTTTCAATATTGCTTAAGTTAACGGAAGCGCCTAAGATCCATGGATGTAGGGCTAGCTTAAGCGCCAATTCTTTTTCCTTCAATACAAATTCATCCGTGTTCTTCAATTTACCTCCAAATAGATAGTGCGTGCCTCTCACTACCAAACCTTCGCCGAAAGCAGTTTCATTCAATGCCTCAGCCACACCAAATGCATCGTCTTTCAAAAGTCGTCGATGAAGCTAAAAAATTTTATTTATTATAATACATATTGTTATTTAATTGCAACATGTTACATGTCTCAAAATGTTCGTTAGGTTCGTTAAGTATAGTAACCCAGATAGTACAGAGAGTTCAAAAGTCATATGTCATCAATTTTGAGTTTATTTTCAGATGCAAAAAGAATTCTTTTTGTATCTAAAAATGAATTCAGAAAATTGAATATATGAATGAATTCTTTTTAAACTCTGTGCTATCTAAAAAAATACGCGATACACGCAAAATAAATCCATAATTGATAATGTTTCCTTTAACAATAAATTTGCATTAAAAATTTCTAATTTGTAAGATTTATTTTGTAGGTACAAAGTTATACTTAAAAAATAAACTGTCCAAATACTTTAAATTTATTTTTATAGAATTTATGACATCTTACTTTAGATAATTTTATGTTTCAAATAAATTTACGTATTATGGATTTACATTTAGCCTTGCCATTAATATTTTAATATAATTAATAATACATAGATATTTTTAAATAAATTTTATCAGATATTTAGCAAGATTAGTAAAAATAATTGCAAAGGTTGACATCTACCATCAATTCAACGGCACCATCTTGCAAACTGCTTCCACCTTGGGCACGATCGACAAGGACATTTAGCTTCAATTGCTTGTTTTCATCCTTGAGTGCAATTTTACTGGTCACCGGATAATAATTTCCAGATATCGGTTCCTTCAAATCCAAATTCCACGTTGAACGATAATTTCTCACACGTTTTAACATTTCTCTTCCATTGCTATCCGTGTAAAATGTTTTATCTGTTTGCAAGTTGCTTGAATATCTCGTAAGTATCTCTTTGCCAATCTTATCCCTAAAATAAAAATTAAATTTGAGAGATTTGCATTGCATATAGATAAGAATTAAATATTGCGATAATAGAAGATTGAAAATACTTGATAGGTATCGGTCCAACGAGCCATTCAAATTCGACGTGCTCTTCTTCTGGATAAACTCGAACAACTTGACTAATCCATTCGTTTATTTTATGCTGGAGTTCTTCCACGACAGGACCTATAAAAAATAAATTTAACGGAGTAACGCATTTATGATATATTATTTGAAATAAAGTTGGCTCAAATTCTATACCTTTGTATATTTTATACGATCCGCTGTACGCGAAATTCCTGGCCGATGTTTCTTTAGGTCTGAAGATATACGCGCCGGATGACCTATTAGCGAAGACCTCGTTATTACCCTCTGCCCCGATGTAGTAATGGAAGGATTGCACGACTCTCATATTCTGCTTATTCCAGCGTACTGCCAAGTTACCGTTGGTTTCGACGGATATATTATACAGCTAAACATTATAAAACAAATTTGATTGTTACATTTGAGATTATTCAATTAATATTTGCTTTATTTCACTAAAATAAATTTTGTAATGTTATAAAGAAAGATTGTGAAACCAATTACCGAAATAAAAAAAATATTTGTAAAGTTTGAATAGTCATAACTGTCATAAAATATTTTATGCATTTAATGAAATGATCTAATGATTCATCAATAAAAGTTAATATATTGTTAGAAATGTTAAGATATATTTCACTTGGGAAAAAAAATTCCACATATAATTATATATAATTATATGCAAAATATGTCCATATATGTTTCTTTCCTTTGTAAAATTATTCTTTAATACAAAATTGATAATAAGAAGGAAATATAAAAAA